TGGTGTATATATAGTAAAGCTCCACCAACAATGTCTTAAAAACCAGTAAAGTTAAGAATTTTTATCAACAATATTTGAAAGTAGAGAGAAAAAGATGTAATCATTTTGTAAGCTAAGATAAACGACGATGTTTGAAAATCATAACAAAAGTTTTTTTCGTTAGTTTTTGTTTTTTCGGTTGTGAGCACTGTTCTTAGTTCACGAGACCCTATATAAATTTTAGGTAAACGTTATTTAATTGTTTTATAAAATATATTGTTATTTTTAAGTTAGATTCACACAGTTTTTTATATAAACTCTATAAGTTCTTAACCTGTTAGGGTAAAAAGGACCAACTTAAACTTACCTGGTAAAGGTGTAAAAATAAAACATAACTAATAAAGAAGTGAATTATGTTTAAAAAAAGCTATTTACAAGAGCTAAGTTAATTAAATAGTTATTCAAACAATGTTAATAAATACTTCTGACAAAATGCCAGATCAAGGTTATTTACAATGTTATCTCTGTAAAAAATGCATTCATAAAATTTGTATTTTGCACTGGTTGATAATGTAGGTATTATTTTGTTGAAATTCCTTCAAAAGTAAAAATAAGACATTGGACTGTTTGCCCCTGGCCGTTCGAATTTACCTCGCTCATGGAGTAAGAAAGACTAAGTTACAATTTTTTGAAATACAGCTAAGATAACATATTTTTACAATGATGTATTAGAAGGGAGTTTTACTGACCATAGTCAGATAGTAGTTTGTTCAAAATGTGTTCTATGCTATGACATAATTGGTTTGGTTTTCCAAATATAATTATTAAAAGTCGAATTAAATCGTTGAGCCCCGCGCTACCTATATAAATTTCTTAATTGTTTTTGTAATTCGTTAATTACTTCTCATTTTTGCAAAAAGTATTGTACAAAAGTCTGTGTTTTTATTTTTTTCTTTGTTTAATATACAAATTTCTTTTTATTATTATTTCATATATAATTGCACCTATTGCAGAATAAAATATCAGCAAATTTCTGCATGATGACACATATGTGTCGAAATGTATAAATAACGGAGAGACAATAATTAATTTGTTTGAATTAAGCTTTTATCGATAATTTCTATTCATAAATTCCATGCTTCTATCCAATTTTATACTTCTTTTGACTAATGATTAAAAAAATAAGAAAATTATACAATTTATGTTTTTATTAATGTATTCAGTGTTGATTCAAAATTCAGATTCAGTCAATATTCTATTTCTTTCAAAATATAAGCTTGCAATTTTTAATTAAAATTTAATAGTTATTTGTTAAATTAAAAAATATCACCTGATAATATATAAAATATCACCTGATAATCCATATCAATGAACAAATGTCATCCGCAACATAAAATATATATTTTTTTAAAAGTGGCGAAACGAGCATTTTTCGATATTTTAACAAAATTAACATAAATAAAAGACATTTGTAATTTAAGAAAAAAATTTAAACCAGTATTTTTTTAATATTTTATATTTATACCTGTACATATTTATATATATTTTTTAAAATTGATTTGATTTATGTTAAAACATATTGTCGAAAAAAATTAATCCATAAGGTAGGATTTTGTTAAACTTTTTTATTTATTTTTATTGGCTTATTCAGAGAATTTAGCCACCAGCAACATTTCATTTTTTTATATTATATTTTTATTTATTTATACATATTCAGTACTTGCTGATTTACAGCTGAATTATTCATATTCTTTTTCTTTCTGAATCTAAACTTGTCGTTTAGTTTAAAAGTTTTAATTTTAGTTTTTTCAACCAAAATACACAGAATTATTAATTATCCACTTTTGAACTAAACGTAATTGAAAGAAAACATAAAATAGAAATAAGACTGCTAGAAGCAAAACTTTATTAGAATAATATTTAAACAAATATATAAAAAACACGATATATAAAACTAAATTCTTTCCCCGTGAGAAAAATTGAAAATATTTGCTCAATTATATTATTTCATAAAATTTTGATATTAAAAAGTGAAAATACAGTAGATTTATCCAAATATTTTCAATCTTAGATCCACATTTCGTAAAAATGTAATAATAATATTTATTGCATTTTCTGATTGTCAAATAAATAAATAAATAAAATAAAAATGATAAGAATAATAATAATACTGTATTTCAAAAGTGTGATCGAAATAAACACATATTCATGAATATAGTTTCAAAACTATTTTGCTATTAGAAATATGTAGACTTTGTCTATGGCAAGTAAATTGTAAATTGCTAATAAATAGTCAATCAGATTTAATTTAAGGAAAATATAATATATATTATATATAATATATATATATATATAAATACATATAGATACATTATGTATTCATATTCAAATCATTTATCACGAGTTTATAGTTATATTATAAATTTTATTGATCTTTTGCATAAAACGCAATTACATACAGAAAGCAATTTACATAAAATCATCGAATTTTATAATTCTTAATCCAGTTCTTATATGTGTGACATTGGTGTTCTCTATGTGAGACAGTAGTCAACCTTCATATGCATAAATTTGGGAATTATCAAATGTTTAGTGCACTAATAAACTGAACTTGAAATGATCGAGTTTGTTTTGATTGTTTATAAATTTGGTGATTAACAATGTCGACTTTAAAAAATTCTAATTGGGTTCCGAAACAAGAACCGCCTGATAATAAAACAGATGATACTAAAACCGATTCTGTAAAATATGATATGGTCAACGAAGCAAAGAATCGGAACCAAAGCCAAACAGGGTAAAAACAGAATTGCTTGGGATATAAAACTGGTACAAACCTCAAGCCAATGGTGTTTCAAAGGAAAGTACTAAGGATAATTTGTAGACAATCAAAAATTGGTTATGGCTGAAGAAAAACAGGACAATAAGCTTAAAGAAATTAGTGCAATGGAAGAAGAGAGCAGACGCGAGCGAAGATACACTAAAAATCTTCACGAGTGCTCCTTGATGCTTCAGGAAATTGATGGAGGTAGATACACAAGGGAAGGATTTCGCAGACTTTTCAAAACAAGGTAAGTTTAGCTTAAAAAATGCAATCTTTATATGTGAAATCAATCAGATAACCAATTATTGCATATTTCATGTTAAGTAAAATATGCGGTATATTGAAGATTCAGTACAAATATTTGTACATTAAATACAAATATTTGTATATTGAATTAGCTGGCGAAATTTGATGTCTATTGACTTTGTTATTGTGCTGCTGACTTTCATAGAAGAACTTAATCTTCATGTATTCACTACTAAACTAGTTCAAATTATTTTATTAACTCCCGTAGGGTAAGTTATAGTAATCGCAAAAAAATCGAAAATGAACATTTTTGCATTTTCTCGACGTTTCAAACCTTCTGAACATTTGCATACCTTAGAAAAAATGGATGTATGTGTGTGTGTGTGTGTTGTGTGTGTGTAGGATGTATGTATGTATGTTGTAGGTGATATTATGTGCGGATACAATTTTTCGTCGACGATTTCGGGAACACGGATCAACCGATTTGAATAATTCAAAAAACATTCGATCGTATGATAAGGAGACGTGTGATAGTTTTTGGCAAAGCAGGTAGCCGTTCCGAAGATACGGGGCAAAAAGTGCCAAGAACGGTACCTCCGTTTCAAGAGGACACGGAGCGTCCGATTGCATAATTCAAAAACATTTTACTTTACTGACAAGATGTAGAATGATCAATTTTCATGGAGGCAGTCTAGCGGTTCGGAATCTATGAAAAAAGTAAAAATAATGCCATTCGGCGGTTTTAAACATTATCATTAGACATATGCAATCAAATTATCAGATATTTTATAGAGATTTAACAATAAGTATATTTTTTTTTACATTTTATGGTTCCGTACCAATGCTTATGCGTTAGACGGCGGCGCGGCCTTACGCGATTGACATTTCGTCTCTATGCAGTTCAAGCAGTGCGATTGCTTTGAAAAAGTTCAGAATTTCCAAAATATGGCAAAATGAAGAAAACATTTTTTTCAAAAAAATTTTTTATCCAAAAAAAAATTTTTTTTCAAAAAAAAATTTTTTTTTCATATAATTTTTTTGTCAAAAAAAGTAATTTTTTGTCAAATTGTAGTTTCTCAATCTATCTTTTTAATTAAAGTTTTCAAAAATGTTTAATCGTTTTAAAAAAAATAATAATTTTTGGTACGGGAAAGTTCCAGCAATTTGCCTTAAGGCACGATGCCCTAATTGCCTAGACAGATTCCACTACAGCTAGTTTATGTAATGTTTACATGATCATTAGGGTGGTTCTTAATATGGACATTTTGAATTTTCTTGCTCCAAAAGCTCAAATCGTTCCAAATTGATAAAAAAAATTCTCTGAAAGTTTTAGCTTTTTATATTAACTTTTAGATAGTGCGCAATTCAACCAAACTTTGTATGGAAATAGCATGGAAAAATTTTTGAAAATTAAAAAAAAAAGTTTTTAGGTATAACTCAGCATTATATTATAAAGTTTCACACAAATTTGAGTATAAATTACTACAAAAAATAAATATTTAGGTCAATATCACTAAATTCATATTTTAAATCAAATACTCTACTACAAATCATTTGTGTTAAATAATTTTAAATAGTGATGATAAATGTTTGTATATATATCGCTTCATTATAAAACCTAATTAACGAAGGAAGTAGTGATGAATATTCAACATTAATTAAAAACACAGAATAAAAATTGTTTTGGATTTGCTTAAAAATTTTATGCAAATTAGCACTGCATACTTCAATTTTGCTTAATTTTTTAGTTGTTGTTTTCATCATGAAATATCACAGGTATTCTTCAAACAGTACGAAAATATTTAGAATTCATGTATTTAATTTTTTTATTTATTCATTTAAACAACCATTTATATAATCATTGTTCTAATCAATCTTTGCTATATATTATCATGTTGAAGGATTCATGAAATTGAAACAAATGCAATAAAGAAATCAAAATTTACTGTTTTAATTACTGATAAATACATTTAATATTACGTAAGCCATAAAACTAAAATTTAAATAATAAAGAATAATTTCTTTCTCATTTCAATGGCGTATTCAAATGCATAATACAATTCTTCTTCAATTCAAACCTTTTGTAACTTCAACATTCACATAGACAACTTTTATGATATTCAAAAACAAAAAAAAATGTAATTATAGCTATAATTCATTATAACATTTCTTTATAGTATATTTATTACTTTTTATTTAGATACTTGAATAAAAGCTTTTATATTATATTGCACATTTTATGCTGGGTTATTATAAAAAATTAAAATTAGAGCAAACTTGAATTAACAGATTTATAGTTTACCTACCCTGTATTGTTTTACACAGAGTAAAAGTGTTTAAAAAAAATTACGTTGTATATACTGGTGAAACTTAATATTATCGTTTTTAAATACATTTTGTAACAGGCAAATTAAAACCATCAAATTTAATTACAAAGTTTTTGCAAACTATCAATTATGAAACGCAAATCGTAATCAGATCATATATCTCGTTCACTTGTAATTAGATATATGTATATATATATATATATATATATATATATATATAAATGTAGATATATAATTTTTGTGAAAGTTTTATTAGACATCTGTTAACAGCATTATAAAAATTGCGGGGATATTGCAGAGTTATAAATAAGTTAGATTTTTTGTATATAAATTACTTTCTACATACACTCTCTCTAAATTGTTAACATAACTATTTCGTTATTTTATTACAGCAATATAAATTATGTAAATTCATAAATTTGGATTAGATTTTGATAGTTTATTAAATCTAATGTAACAGATTATTAAAACAATAGGATACTTAAACATTTAATTCAATCGCTAAAAATGCTTAATCTTGGCAAAACATTCTTTGCAATTTGCTAAATTCAATGTTTATGTTACTCTAGAATCAAAAAAAAGTTTTAATGGAAGTGTGAAATCCATAGATTTGGCCTTAAACAGCAACATATATATTTTCTTATAATAATTCGTATCTTGATATATTATATTTACTTATAATTTAATAACTGTGACAAATATCTTGATTTAATTGATAAAATTATATTAAAACTATTGTCGTGGCAACTTTGCGACATTAGATGCTTCCTAATTAGTAACCCCAATTTTATTTCCACTATTTCGGACAACCCGATATCAAACTGTAGCTAACCGTTTTCACTTGAAAATTATAGATCATAGTAAATTTTCAAGTAAAAATTGCCTTCCTGGCATTGCTATACTTTAAATTAAAAAAATATATTGAAGAAATTTTAATAACAAAAATAAATCAAGATATTTATTAGATAGGACAACTAACGGGTTGCCTTCTACAGAACTTGTAATTAAGAAAAATCGTCACATTGCTAGCAGTACCCTTAAGTTCTGATTGCTGTAAAAAAATTAAAAAAATTGGTGTGAGGAGCATTACCAAGTTTCACCAATTTGTGAACAAAAATTAGAACTATTAAATAAAAATTTATGGCCCGGCCTATCTTTTCAAAAACCTATTTAGCAGGATTTCCAACTAATTTCTTTCAAACGGTTCTTCAATTATCAAAATCGATTCAGAATTTTTAAATAAATCATAGATAAAAAATTCCAGCCTTCCAAAAAATTTTTGAAACTTCGTTTCCGAGAAAACTTCTACGAAAGATGAAATACTGGCTTATTTCATTTTATTTTTTATACACACGCATATTTTTTCCAATTTGGTGCCAGACTTTCCAAACTTCATTTCTGATAAATTAGAAATATTAATATTTTACAAATATTAATTGCTGTATTGCCACATATCCTTTTCCACTGCGGATATATTATTTTTTCGCGTAGGAATACTTATATTCCCGGTACCATATTTAGAACAATAAGAGTTGCAAAGATAATACGTTAAAATTTCATAAGATTCTTATTCATCGCACCTTGAACAATAAATTAAGAAAGACAATCAGCGACTCCTACAAATTTCCGTACTATCACTTGTTTTGTAATTATTATTAAATGCATGTATACAAGTCGTTATATCCATATACTCAAGTAGTGCCATAGCACTTTATCATCATACCTTAATTGTTTATTTTAATTTCCCGTAGGGTAAGTTATAGTAATCGCAAAAAATATAAAATGAAAATTTTTGTATATATTTGTTTCCGAGATTTCTGAACATTCTGGTACACCTTAAAAAAAATGAATGCATGTGTGTGTGATGTATGTATGTGCGGATACAATTTTTGGCCGACGATTTCGAGAACACGGATCTATTGATAAGGAGACCTTATCTTATTCCTATTGATAAGAAGACGTGCTGGTTAGTTTTTGGCCAAAGCAGGTCTAGCCGTTCCGAAGATACGAAGAAATAAGTAATACGAAGAAATAAGAAAAATGGTAATTCAGTTTTTCAGAGAACAGAACCTCCGATTTCAATGATTTAAAAAACATTTTACTTGTATTGATGGAATAAAAATTTGATGATCTAGCGGTTTTGGAGATTCAATGAAAAAAGTAAATAAAAAACGCCATCTGGCGGTCAAAAATAATCATTAGACAAATTTTTGGAGACTTTAATAATATGTATCAATTTTGTTTACATTTTTATGGGTTCCGTAACATCGTTTGTCCGTTAAACGGAGACGCGGCGCTTACGCGCTTCGATTTTTTGTCTCTATGCAGCTAAAGCAGTGCGATTGCTATGAAAATAAGTTCAAAATTTCCAAAATATTTTAATTTTTTCAAAGTTTGAAAAAAAAATCTTTATAAAAAAAATATTTTTTTGTACGGGAAGTTCCAGCTATTAGCCTTAAAAGGCACGATGCCATACACCACTAGTTCTTTCTATCTTAAGATGTAAAAATTTCATATAAGTGTCTATTTTAAAAGTTTACGAGTTCTATGAAAAAATAATAAAGCAAACGATTTGAATTTGACAAGTTGTGTTTTATCTTGAGCCAACTGAAGTCATCGAAAAGTCGATTGATTTATTCAATGGTTATCAAGATTTGATTCATTGTGTTCGAAATACA